TGGAGCATGGCCATATGTAACCATTTTTTTTTAAATTTTTCAATTTATTTTTTAAATTTTCTTTTGAGGAAGATTGGCCCGGGGCTAACATCTGTTGCTAATATTCCTCTCTTTTTTCCTCCCCCAAAGCCCCAGTACATGGTTGTATATCCTAGTTGTAAGTCATTCCAGTTCTTCTATGTGAGATGCCAACATAGCATGGCTTGATGAGCAGTGCGTAATTCCATGCCCAGGATCCAAACCTGCAAACCCCAGGCCACCAAAGTGGAGCACATGAACTTAACCACTCAGCCACAGGGTTGGCCCTGATATGTAACCATTTTTAATACTGATCTCATTCTTACGAGTATGAAAACATCTTTTAGATCTAGCTAAAGTTTAACAATGTAATTCTTACATTGAAATGTTGCTATGCTCTATTAAAAGAAAAAACTTGCATTGAAGTCTTGTAAAAGTCTTTATGAGTTATGTATTCATATATCTGGGACACACTGTGTACTTTGGAATAAAGTAGCAACAAGGAGTTATCATTAACAGATTGAGAAATGTCTCTATGACCAGGTGTTCTTAGGCTTTAAGAACTGTGATAACCTGACAACTCTAAGGCTACTGTCTTAGTAGTAGTTTCTCACTCTAGCTGCACATGAGAATCATAGGGGCAGTGATGGGCTTTAAAAATGCTATTGCCTATGTAACACCTCTATAGATTCTCATGTGAGGCTGGATATCACCACTAAAAAACAGAACAAAACTGGGCCTTGGATTTGGCAATGATCTTTTAGCTGTAACACCAAAAGCACAATCCATGAAAGAAAAAATTGTTAGTTGGATTTTGGTAAAATAAAAAAATTCTGCTCTGTGAAAGACACTCTTAAGATAGTGAAAAAACAATCCACAGGCAGGGAGAAAATTTTTGCAAAACACGTATCTGACAAAGTACCAATATCCAAAATATACAAAGAACTTCTAAAATTCAACAATAAAAAAACAAATCAGGGCCAGCCCTGGTGATTTGTGGTTATATTTGGCACACTCTACTTCTGTGGCCCAGGTTTGGTTCCTGGGCATGGAGCTACACCACTCATTTGTCAGTGGCCATTCTGTGGTGGCAGCTCACATACAAAAAGAGGAAGATTGGCAACAGATGTTAGCTCAGGGTGAAACTTCCTCAGCAAAAAAATAAATAAATAAAATAAATTAAAAAATTGGCCAAATGTATAAAGAGACACCTCACAAAGAAGATATGCAGATGACACAGAATCATGTGAAAAGATGCTTAACATCATATGCCATTAGGTAATTGCAAATTAAAACATCAATGAGATAGTGCTACATACCTATTTGAATGTCTAAAGTTCAAAACACTGACAACAAAAGATGGGGAGAATGTGGAACAACAGGAACTCTCATTTATTACTGGTAGGAATTCAAAATAGTACAGTCCCTTTGTAAGATAGTTTGGTGGTTTCATACAAAACAACATAATCTTACCATACAGTCCCGTAGTCTTGCTCCTTGGTATATACCCAAATAAGCTGAAAACATATCTTCACAAAAACCTGCATACAAGTGTTTATAGTATCTTTATCATAATTTCCAAAAAGCAATCAAGATGTTCTTCAATAGGTTAATGGATAAACTGTGCTACATCCTGAAAATGGAATATTATTCTGAGATAATAATAAATTAGCCATCAAGCCATGAAAACACATGGAGGACCATTAAAAGCATAATGCTAAGTGAAAGAAGCCAAGCTGAAATGGCTATGTATTTTATGATTCCAATTCTATGACATTGTGGACAAAGCAAAACTATGGAGACATTAAAAAATTAGTGCTTGCCAGGGGTTCTGAGGGACTGAGGGAGGCATGAATAGGTGGAGCACAGGGCATTTTTTGGGCAGTGAAACTGTTCTATATGATACAGTAATGATGGACATATATCATGATACATCTTTCAAAACTCATAGAAGGTATAAAACGAATGAATCCTAGTGAAAACTATGGACTTTAGTTAGTAATAATGTGTCAATATTGGTTCATCAATTGTACCATTTGTTATAATTGTTACACACCGAAACAAGATGTAAATAATAAAGGAAGCTGTACAGGGGGAGAGGGAATATATGGAAACTCTGTACTTTCCTATCAATTTTTCTATAAACCTAAAACTACTCTTAAAAACCCCAAAGTCAATTAATTATTTAAAAAACTGTCTAGGTTATTCTGATGTCCTGCCATGGTGGAGAATCAATGAACTAAAATGTCTAATTTGAGGTCTGCAAGAAATTTGGAGCAATTTATCAGAATAAGGAACATAGAAAGAGTATTGGTAGTATAAATGGTGAAGTTCTATATAGGAATTTCTTGTTTTGAATTGCCTGTGAACAATCTAGGTAGAGATGCCCATTAGACATTTATTTCTTTCCATCTATTATTATGTTTCATACAGTATTTCAGATTCGAAACTTTATCCTAAGAGCCGTAATCAAAGCAATATTTGAAAAGCCAATCACAGTTTAGCATTTAAAAGCCTAATGGATTAGAAAAGGATGACTCAGAGCAAACTTCTAATTAGAAAATATTGCTGGCCTCAAGTTTCTATCCATAGGAACAGTGCTTAAATGCTGCCTCCTGCTTTGCCTATGGGTATATATTTTGCCACAAAATAATATATTGTCTCTTGATGTGTAATTCTTAACTTAAAAAGAAAGAGAGAAGAAAATAAATACTAAAAACACCCCATGCTTTTTGGCGTAATAAAAGCATACATATGCATAGGTGAAATTCACATAACTAAACAGAGAAAATGAAACGTATTCCTCCAGAGGCAGAAGTATTTCCTAAATAAGCAAATAAAACTTCTGTTAAAAGGTATTTCTTGCCTTTGTTTGTGCCTACTTAAAATGTCCTATAAATCTTTTCAAAGCAATTAAGAACTGCATTTTGAATTCTGCTGTTGGTTTCCTTCATCCTTTCCCTTGCTGCACACACTCTAGCAGTTCATAAGCCAGTCTTATCTCTGGAGTGTAGAATATCCCAAACATATACTGAAAATGATTTGGTTTGCTAAGATAAAACAAAAGCATCTTTTTTTTCCCATTGCTATATGGTTAAAGCTTTCAATCATCTAAGGTGAGATCGTTAAGGTTTTTCTGCATCTACAAAGTGAAATAAAGATAATTGAAATGATTATTATCCAATAAGCATTTTAATCCTTCCGATATATTTTCCTTGAAAAGCCAGATTTCAGAAGCCAGTAAGTGTTTTGGCATGAATTATCCAGTAAGTAATTTTGTCTTTCTTCCTCACTTTGTGTATACAGATCCAGTGTCTATTATTCACTTTTATGGTGTGACCAGCTTTATGTGGAAAAGGTATAATATAAGTAGTTATTTGTTTACAGAAGACATGTAGTCTAGCAGCATTAGTTTTAAAGCAAATTTTATTTTTCTGTCGATTTATTGAAAGCTGATATACATCTATATATGTGTATATGTATATTTGTATATGTATAATATATATATATATGTATATCTGTAGCTTTGTGTAGCAGTCGCCATGATCACCATGATTAAAATACAGAACTGTTCTATCGCTACAAGTATCCTTTGTTCTATAAAGCTACCTCTACCCCTACGTTTTCCCTCCCCCTCCATAACCCCTAGAAACTACTAATCTGTTATCTGTATCTAAAATTTTGTCATTTCAAGAGTGTTATTTAAATTGAATCATACAGTATTTAACCTTATGAGATTAGCTTTTTCACTCAGCATAATTCCCTTTGAAATCTGTCAAAATTTGTCCCATGTATCAGTGGCCTATCTGTTAGGTGTGTAGTGATATTTTATTGTGGTTTTAATTTGCATTTTCCCAATGCCTAATGATTTTTTACATCCCTTTTTGCATATTTGCCATCTGTATATCTTCTTCAGTGAAATGTCTGTTCATGTCCTTTGCTCATTTTGAAATTGAATTGTTTCCTTTTTTACTGCTGAGAATTCTTTATATATTCTAAATCTGGAGGTTTCTCAGATATGAGGTTTGCAAATATTTTCTTCTAGTCAGTAACTTGTCTTTTTATCCTCTTCAGGGGATCTTTTCCAAAGCATTTACTTTTTCTTTTTTGATGAAGTCCAGTTTAGCAATTGCTCTTCTTATGGATCATGTTCTTAGTTTCAAGTCTAAGAACTCTGCCTGTCCCTAATTCCTGAAGGCTCTCCTGTATTTGTTTCCTAAAAGTTTTATAGTTTTACATTTTTACATTAAAGTCTATGATCCATTTTGTATTTTTTTGGATAAAGTATGAGATTTTAGGCAAAAGTTGGTTTTCTTGAGCTATAGATGTCCAAATGCTCCAGCACCATCTGTTGAACATTCTTTCCTTCCTATATTGAATTGTTTTTGCAACTTTGTCAAAAATAGGTTGAACATATTTGTGTGGATCTATTTCTGGATTCTCTATTCTGCTACATGGATCTATATATCCATCCCTCCACCAATACCACACTCTTTTGATTACTGTTGCTATATAAGCCGTAACATTGGGAAGAGTGGTTCCTCTCGCTTCATCTTTAGGAAAATTATTTTAGATACTATAAGTCCTTTGGCTTTCCATTTACTTTTTGGATTAGCTCATCTATATATTAAAATAATTGCTGGAATTTTTATAAGAATTGTATTAAAGCTATAGACCAACTTAGGGAGAATTGACATCTTTACATGGTGAGTCTTACAATCCAGGTACATGTTAAGTCTTTCCAATTATACATCTTGTACATGTTTTGCTAAGTTTTTACCTAAGAATTTCATTTTCTTTAAAGGACTTGTAAATTGTATGTTATGACCTCAATGAACTCAGTTATTGGTTCTAGGAGAGTTTTTTTTACTAGAGTCCTTGGGATTCTTTATGTGGATGATCACATCATCTGAAGATAGAGATAGTTTTACTTCTTTCTTTCAAATTTATATGGGTTTTGTTTTTTTTTCCTTGTCTTGTAGTGCTGACTGGAACTTCCAGTATTATTATGAATAAGAGCAAAGAAAGCGGATATCCTTGCCTTGTTCTGGATCATAGAGAGAAAGCACTCAGTCTCACCTTTAGGTATGGTAAGAGCTCTAGTTTTTTTTATAGATGCTCTTTATCAAGTTGATGAAGTTCCTTTCTATTCCTAGTTTGCTGAGAGTTTGTATTGTGAATGAATGTTGGAATTTGTCAAATGATTTTTATGTGTCAATGGATATGATCATACAATTTTTCTCTTTAGCTTGTTGATATGGTAGATTATATTGATTGATCTCTGGTCATTGAACCAGCCTTGTATTCCTGGAATAAATTCCACTTCCTTGGTCATGTTGTATGATTAAATTTATTCATTGTAGAATTAGGCTTGCTAATTATTAGATGAGGATTTTTGCATCAAATTTAATAAGAGGTATTGGTTTGTAGGGTTTTTGAAATTGTTTTTGTCTGATTTTTGTATTGGATTAATACTGGCCCCATAAATGAGTTGGGAAGTGTTCCCTCCTCTCTTGTTTTCTGGAAGAACGAGATTGTGTAGAATTGATTTTAATTCTTCTTTACCTGTTTTGTAAAATTCTGCAGTGAAGCCATGGGGGATGGGAGATTTCTCTTTTAAGGGATTTTAAAATTATGAATTAAATTTCTTTAATGGTTATAGGTCTACTCAAATTATCTATTTTATTTTGGTTGAGTTTGGGTAGTTTTTGAGCAGTTGGCCAATTAAATTGTCAAATTTATGAACGTAACATTATTGGTATTTTTTCCCTATTATACTTTTAATGATTACAGATTCTATAGTGATATTCCATGTCATTCATGATGATGACTTATGTTTTTTCTCTTTTTTATCTTTGTCTTGCTAGAAGTCTATCATATTTATTGATTTTTTTGATTCAACTTTTTGTTTATTTTCTCTATTTTTCTATTTTCAATTTTATTGATTTACTCTCTAATCTTCATTATTTCCTTCCTTCTGCTTTTTTTGGGATTTATTTTACTCTTCTTTTTCCTATTGTCTTGAGAAAGAAACTAAGCATATTTATTTGAGACCTTTCCTCTTTTCTAATGTATGCATTTAGTGCTATAAATTTCCCTCTCAGCACTGCTTTAACTGTATACTACGAGTTTTGATATATTGTATGTTGATTTTCATTAAATTCTGATACTTTTTAAAATTTGAGACTTCCTCTTTGACTGATGGTTATTTAGAAGTATATCACTTAATTTTTAAATGTTTGTCTTTAAACAAATGTGGTTGTCTTTCTATTACTTATTTCTAGTTTGATTCCATTGTATTCAGAGAACATAGTTTGTATAATATCAATTCTTATAATTTTGTTGATGTTTGTTTTATGACTCAGTATATGGTATATCTTGGTGAGTGTTCAATGGGTACTTGGAGATAATATCTATGTTATTTTAGTGTGGGTGTGTTCTAGAAATGTTAATTAGGTTCTGTTGGTTGAAAGTATTGTTCAATTTTCCATGTCTTTGCTGATTTTCTTTCTAGTAGTTATACCAATTGGTGAAAGTAAGGTGTTGAAGTTCCTTAGTTGTAAATTTATCTATTTTTCTGTACAGGTCAATCAGTTTTTACTTCACATATTTTGCAGCTCTGTTGTTTGGTGCATACAGGTTTAGGATCTTTATGTATTCTTGATGGATTTACACCTTTATTATTGTGTAATGTCGCTCTTCATCCCTAATAACTTTTTTTGCTCTGAAGTGTATTTTATCTGATATAACATAGCTACTCCCACTTATTTTTAATGTTTGGGTTATATATATTTTCCATTCTTTTATATTCCACCTACTTATTTCTTTGTTTGAAGTGAATTTTGTGTAAATAGCATACAGTTCGCTCCTGGATTTTAGCTACTCTACTAGTCTCTGTCTTTTCTTTGGTATATTTATAACATTTACATATAAATTAATTATTCATACGTTATACATAAGTCTACCATTTTATTATTTATTTACTATTTCTTTCCTCTGTTTCTTGTTTCTCTGTTGCTCTTTGCTTTCCATCCTGTGGGTGATTTGAATATTTTTTATCATTTCATCTTAATTTATTTATGGCAATATTTTTTCCTATATCACTTTGCATAGTTTTCTTCATGGTTGCTATAGATATACAAATAAACAAACATAACAACATTGAGCATCACATCAAATATGATTCTAAAAACTCATTAGTATAAGGATAGCATATTATATTTACCCCTGTTTTTATTCATCCTTTTATTCTCCTTTTCCTCTCTGAAGTTTCAAGCCTCATTCTGTTTCCATTTCCTTTCTTGTTGGAGAATTTTCTTTAGCCATTTTTAAGCCTTTAAGTGATTTTTCAATTCTACTCTCTTTTCCTTCTCCTTATGGGACTCCAGTGATACAAATGTTCAATCTTTTGTTATTGTGTCACAGGTCTCTGAGGCCCTGTTCTATTTTTCTTAGTCTGTTTTCTGCTTTTCAAATTGTGTGAATTCTACTGATCTGTCTTGAAGTTTACTGATTCTTTCCTCTGTCTTCTCCTCTCCTGTATTGAGACCATGCATTAAGTTTTTATTTCATTTTTTTGTCTTTTACACTTCTCTAATTTCCATTTGACTCTTTTCTATGCTTTTATTTATTTGCCAATATTTTATTTTTTCACTTGTTTCAAGATGATTTATAACTGCAAGATGAATCATTTTTATGATGTCTTAATCCCTACTGCTTATGCCTGTGTTGTCAGAAGGGACTTACTAGGCCCCTTGGTGCCACTAGGGGCATGGATAACGCTGAGTTTATGGGACAGAGAGCCTTTCTCCAAGCCTGTTCTCTGAGCTGCCTGATGCCAGTGAGGTTCCTGGCCAATCTCTGCTATTTCTGCTGTGGGGAGGAAAACACCTACCTGGGCTACCTTCTGTCACTTGGTCAGGGGTTGATTAATGTTTCTGAGTCAACCTGTGTCACTAGGTTTGGAATCAAGAGACATCAAGTCTCATTTTCTTATACTGTTGAGTGGTTGAATGGGAGACACCAGGCCTGGACCACCTTCTTCCCCTGGGTATAGGGCTGGGAGACATGAGATTTTGGTTACCTTTTGTTGCTGGGTAGATGGCTGGGTGATGCAGGACTTGAGTCCTCCTCTGCTGCTAAGTGGTGGGTCAGGAAACACTAGTCTTGCTGGCACCCCTTTGTAGGCATAACAGACCTCTACTCCCATCAAGTGGGCTGGGGGGATGGAATGCCTTGCTGTATCTCCGTTAGCACTGCCTGAGTGGGCAGTGTGGCTCCATATTTTAAATAACTCAACTTTATCTCACCTTTAGTTTTCCTTTGCCTATATACAAAGTGTAATAGCGCTAGCCTGCAAATTACTTTTTTCTATGTAAGATGTCACATAATGTAGTTCAGGCTGGGGATTTCCTAAACTTTAATCTTGGAGTTATGTGAAATAAAATTATTATATTCTCTAGAAGTATTATAAAATTATAAATCCTGTATATTAAATTAGCTTAGAACAATGATGGATAGTTTTAGCCTAGAAATTTTCTTCAAGATAGTCAGAAAAGTTTGTCTCTCATAAACATTAGAGAAGGCAAGTTAGGATAAACTATCTTCTAAAGGTTGAAGAATTCCTGTGATGCCAGCTCAATTGGTTTCACTGCAAAATGGATAGGTTGATATACATCACTTTTCAGATACCTGGTTGATTTCCTAGGAATTCACTTTGACAAAAAGTTCATACCAATGACTTCTCTTGTCATTAGTTGCCATTTCAACACGTCTCTTAACTGCATGGTTACACTACAGCTCATGAGTGTGTGTGTGTCTGTGTGCATGTGTGCTCGTGCCTATGTATATGAAAGAATAGTACTTAAGTGCAGGAAAATCACTACTTATGTTGCTCTCATGATGATGTATATTACCAAACACCTTGGAAGTACATTCTTTGTAGAATACATAGTTGGCTTATCTCTCTCATTTTAGAATCCTGAGAAGTCAGTTAACCTACACAATATATTTTTAAAAATCATTTTTACGTGCTTACTACATATTTAGAAAGTTTCATAAAATGAATCATCTAGGGCTTCTGATTCAGCAGCCTAATTTTATAAAAATCACCTACTATTATATTTTCAATAATGGACCATATAATTATTCTGGAATCTCAGATACGTCTTATTCACAGTTGCTGCTGTACAGAGATTGTAGCAGAAAAGTTTGTGATCAGATATAATTCATAATCATTTCTTTATCTATTCATTCTATAAACCTTTATTGAGCACTTAGCGTATGCCAGGCCTAAGCTAAGAATACAAAGATTAATAAGACACTGAGGATGATATTCAAGTGAATACTTCTAATGTTTTAAGCTAAATCTTTCCTATAATGGAAATCCTGGTAATGGACAACACTGTCTACTGGTTCTGCTTTTTCTCAAATATTCTGAGGAAACTGTTGGATGGAAAGAGGGAGGACCTAACCATAACAAGAGTATAGAATTTGACTTATGCATTCTGCAGCACATTTTTGTGATAATAACGTATAGTGCTAGAAATGAAAATTTTCTGAGCCATGAACTAGAATTTTTTTGTTGGTTAGGTCAGTTTTTTGTTTGGATTTTCTGTTTATTTGATTTTAGTAAGAAAGTTGATATATCAACAATATTAAAAGTGTTTCGAAAGAGAAAAATTCTATAATTATATAACCCTAACAGAGCAGCTATTTTCATCCTTGTGTATTCCTTTCTTGTCCTTATCCACTTGCACACACGTTTTCACATAATTGCAATTTGTCATACATATTATTCTATGCTGTTTGCTTTGCATTTAAAGTGGTATAACTCTTAACTGTGCTTCTTATAAAATAAACACTTTTAATAGCTGCATAACAATCCAGCATTTATGTAGGTGTTTTGTCTATAAAAGGCCAAACAATGGATTTAAAATTTTTTCTTTCAGTGAACTAACTTTGTTTCAGACTTCACAAGTCATTTTGTTTGGATACGCCTTAGTTGGGTTGGTACACTACAACTTTAGGAGTGTAGGCTTTTCACTGAATTCAAATGAGCTTAAGGCTGAGTCTACATAGATAAATTATTTCATTTCTGAAATAATCTTGAGAGAAAATGTTCACATTGGAGGGTCACTCTTAGACAAATTTGGACATGGGATTTGGAGATAATTTGCATAGGGGCACTCTTCCTTACTTTCTATTACAGGGTAATTCTCATAGTTTGAGGTACTTTCCACTATATCTTTTTGTGGTTTATGGTATAGCATTTCTTGTAATCACTTTGTTGTTGTATAAATTAGATGCTTATTCACATCAATTGAATTGTGTTGAAAACAGGTCCTTGATTCAAGAGCAATAAATCACACACGTTTCCTGGCTATTACAACCAAGGGATACAGAGATAATGTTAGTTATCAATGGAATGAAATGGTCTCTGTACTTTTTCACTTGTTGATTTTTGATAAAAGAAATATTATTGTTAAACTTCTTGATGATGTAGTTAAACTATTAACTCAGTGACTTGTCTCACTTCAATTAAATGGTTTCATTCATGTGGAATTTTTTTAAGAAATAACTGTCTACTCCTATACTTGTCAATTCCAAGCTCTTCAGCATCTGATTGTGTTAAGTTGTTTTCTGACCTTTATATTTTTTTCTGGACTACCACACTAGGAGCCAACTTTGTGAACTCTCACCTCCTTTTCTGTAAATCAAAATGAAAATTACTGGTTTTTATGGAAGGGACTTGGATTTTAAAGAAAGAATGCATTTGCTTCTCTCATATGTACCATTCCAGGTAGATTAATTAGTAGAACTCTGATTAAAAATGTGTCATAGTACCTCCTCCTGAGGAA